AGCATAAGGAGGGTGGGGTACGGTCAATTAAAAAGCAAAAAAGATAGATTATAAAAAAAATGAAAATTATGAAAAGCTAGAAGTTATAAAAAAAGATATGTATTAAAACAGAAAGTGTATGTGTATATGTATGTGTGTGTGTGTGTGTGTGTGAGAGCACGCATATGTACTACGTGTATGTATCTGTGTGTGTGTGTGTGTGTGTGTGTGTGTATGTGTGTATAACAAGAGTCTAAAAGAATCTAAAAAGACAGATAGGGGCATTATATGGGTGTAGGGGAGCATAAGGGTTAGTATGTGGAAGACTATATTTATCAAATTACAGAGCACTCTAGTATGGCAAACTAGTTGCTCATTAAGACTAGTTTACAGCACATGTCATTGTCCGATTAATTTTAAGCACTCCTGTGCAGAACCTGGCAACAGTGTATGTTGTAGCAAGGTTGGTATCTGAAAGCAGCAGGGAGGTGTACAACTGTCTTGTGTGCCCTGGGTATTTATGTAGTAATGATGAGAGATGGCTAGTATGAATGTCTCTGTAATTATCAGGCCCAGCCCAAGGACAGCAGTGAAACAGTCCAGTTGAGTTCAGTTCCTTTACTTGGTTACACCTCATAGATAGAATCTTGCCAGATTAAATCTGTACTACTGCAATTAGTGGATATACCCTGGGAGATTCTAGAGAGTGGATATCCTGAACTTTTGTTTCCCACATTCGTCCTGCAGACTCTGTTGTCTTTTGTTTCCTTTCCCTTCCTGGAATACACTCTCTCCTTCCTGATAGCCTTCCTCTCTGCTGCAATCCACTACAGTAATACAGGCACTGGAGAAGCACATGCTCTGTTGTTTCTGTGTGTCCAGAGTCACAGGAGCATTGCCTCTCCACGTAAGGAATCTTCCTGTATCAGCCTTCAAGGACAGCTGAAGGTAGGACATGATATTGCACCAGAGTAAAGGCCCTCCAGTGTTTAGGTACTTTTTAGTTAAGCACACCATAGGGTAGGCAGAGTACCTGTTGGATTCCCAGGCAATAAAGGCTGGGGTCCTGGCTTTATGCAGAATGGAGGACTACCCCCAGGGATTTGAAGCAGGAGACCTGCTCAATCTTGTGGCCATCAATGCTCCAGGAGTGGCTCTTGGAGTTTTTGAAACATTCCACAATTTTAGCTTTCTGATAATTCAGTTCTAGCTGGTCTTCTTTGCAGTACTGCGTTAGTGCTCTCAGTGCTCTTTTAAGGCCAATAGGTGTTCTTGAAAGTATTGCTGCATCATCTGCATAGAGTAGAACAGACATGTGCTTTCCAGCAAGTTTTGGGGAGTGAAAGTTTGTGTTGTGGAGATGGCCCACCATGGAGTCAATACAGAAATTGAATAAGAGTGAGGCCAATATACAGCCTTGCTTGATGTCTTTCTCAATTTCAGTGGCACCAGTGAGATGGCCCTGGGGGTGACATCTTACTTTGAGTGCAGTCCTTTCATGTAGCATACATATTAAATGAGGCAGATGTAGGTCAATTGAGGGTGCCTCCAGTTTTTTCCACAATTTAGCTCGGGATATTGAATCAATGTTACTTTGAAGTCTATGAAGGTGGCATAAAGGAAGGTTGTGTTGCAGAAGGAGTATTTTTCAATGAGATGATGGAGTACTACACACTGACAAATGGTGGATTGGCCTTACCTAAAGCCAGCTTGCTCCTCTGCAAGAATCTTTTCTTCTTCCAGCCAGTCCTGGAATTTCCATTGTAGGTATCTTGCATAGAGTTTGCTGATTGTGTTGAGGAGGCTGATCGGTCTATAATTAGCAGGACCAGCCTTTTCTCCATTTTTTATATATAGGGACAATGTTCACAAGCCCCCAATCCTTGCGGTTTTGGCCATAGGTGTCAATGCAGGTAAAGAGTGAGGCCAGAGTAGGGGGCTAAACAATTACCTAAAACTACTTATGCTAGAAAAAGATTCTATGGTACAAATCAATCTCTGTAACCTTTATTCTTGAGGGTCTGAATTTTTGTATTACTACTACTACTACTACTACTACTACTACTACTACAACTAACACTACCAGGACTATTACCAAGTGAAAAACTGCTGTATAGACTATGTAGTCCCTGCCCCCAAAAACAAACAAATAAAAAAAGGTGTGGGCAGAATTCCAACTCACGTAACAATGTATGATCCTGTAAAACATGTTTGTCAATGAAGCACATCAAGGTTCTTATTTGTGGAGAGGTACAGAGTACTATGAATTACATCTAGAAGATAAAGTGATACTTGAAGGTGGTGCCTAGTGGTAGATAACTGAAGTGGTTGGAATAGGGAAAGGGACAAGCAAGAAACATGCTTTGTCTCTTATCTCTGAAACTCCCACCTTCATTGTTGGCCATAAACTACATTATAGTATCTCTGTAGTGTTTAAGGATTTCCAAGACTTCAATGTGTTTGTGTAGCAAGGTTGCCATATTGTTCACATTATACTAGCAAACTTTGCATGCAGTACAATATGATGCAGTACAATATCTGCAGTACAAACTTTGCATGCAGTACAATATGATGCAGTACAATATCTGCAGTGAAACCAGTCTGACAGCTCAAATGGAATAATAAAAATAACACTGTCCGTATGCTTCACATATAGCCATAGTCCCTTTTTGGCACATGCAATTTTTTTTCTTCTTACTATTGTTATCAGAAATACTGGATTCAGGGCTAGATTCACTACTGATTCAATAAGAAGGAAGTTGTATGGTTTACTAGAATATTTATTTTGCCATACCTGGTTGCAACAGTTAAATTATGAAGTTTTGTATGCAGTTTTGTAAATAAATTATGAACAAGGATTACACAGGCCAAGGGCATGAAAGTATTCATGGAGACAGACAAGATAGATTTTTTGTTTCTCAATAAATACAGTAATTTATGAAACAACGATGTAAAAGAAGTAATTCATCTTTGGACTCAATTGCTTTTAATTAGTGTTAGTCAGTAAACTCCATTTAATTAATCCACTTAGGTTAAGCAAAAAAGTACTGAATTACGTAATTACTACACTAAACAGCAATTAAAGCACATTATTAAATGATTTCATTACTGTGTTAGCACTTTTCAATAAGCATTCTATAAAACAAAAATATAAAGGTAGTCCTCATTTAGCGACCACAATTAGGACTGGCAACTCGGTCATTAAGCTAAGTGATTGCTAAGTGAAATGCAACTGTGCTTGCAATCTTCCTTCAGCTTCCCCTTGCTTTACAGACCTGCAAAGGTTGTAAATGCGAGGATTGGTCTCAAAGTTACCTTTTTATCACCGCTGTAACTGTGAACAATTGCTAATAAACAAGGCAGTAAACAAGGACTACCTATTAGGAAGACTCCAGACTGTATTCTGAAAGAGTTAATATAACACACTCTCATATATGTATGTATACACACACAATTCCTCCTAACTCGCCTCCTTTAATATATTTAACTATACAAATATGCAGTCACAATGGAAAATAAAATATTGTTTTACCAAAATCAATTGCATCTAAAGCAATACATTTTCACTTTTAATCTCAGAGTTCAATTTCTTTTCAACGGTCAACTGATAAACCTTATGGGAATCTAATCCACTTACATTTCCCTCATGATTGGGGCAGGAAAGTGGCTTCCCTGAAGCTACAGCTGTGACAGTCTCCAAGATGGCAGACTCCTCAATACTGCTGTCTGGAGTTCGCTGCAGGACATCCATCAGGTTGGTGATGAAGAAATTGTTTTGCAGTGCAGAAACCCCTTTCTCTGGAAGAATTGATGTCTGCCGGCACACTGGGCAAGAAAGGGTTAAGCTGTGAGCTGGAATGTAATTCTGTAAACACCTAATGAGGATAATAAAAAGATGAGCAATCATTAGTATCACTTCATATTTCCAATTCTGCAACTCATCTTAGTAAAAGAGGGTAAACTCTTAACCACTTAAAATTTGTATTCCTCTGACAATGATATAATGAAATAGCTGCACACCTTAAAAAGGTGAAACAGAAGGAAGGCATCCCTGAAAGAATGAAAGAAAATAATATTTTATATACTCGGATTACTGCACCCCAAAGAAAGTCAAAACCAGGGGTCAACACCACAGAGGTCAATACAGGCACTTACTACACAGCACCCTAAAAAGACAGCAATCTTGCAAAATGTAAGAACTCATATATCTTGCAATATACAAGAACTCATATCAAAATTTCATGCGATTTTGGCAATTTTGTGTGACAAATATTTGTTAATAACCATATGCACACATGCATAATGTTTAAAATATTTATTTATCATATTTATACAGCCGCCCATCTCACACAAGGTAACTCTGGGTGGTGTACAACAATTAAAAAAATAAAACAGAAAAACACCTACTGTACATATAACAAATTGTAAAAACACACAAAACAGGAGGGGATAAAATTAATAAGGGAGCCATCATAAAATCTCCCCGGCCCCCTGGGAGCCCCAGGCCTGATCACATAGCCAGATCTTGAAGGACTTACAAAATGTTAAGAGGGATGGTGCTAATCTCACCTCTGGGGGGAGAAGATTCCACAAGGTGGGCACCATAGCAGAGTAGGCCCACCTCCTGGGACCTGCCAAATGTAATTCTCTAGCAGACAGGATCCTCAGCATGCCTACTCTGCCAGATCTGATGGGACGGGCAGATGTAATCAGGGAGAGGTGGTCCCTCAGGTAACCCGGCCCCATGCCATGAAGGGATTTAAAGGTCAAAACCAGCACCTTGAATTAGACCCGGAAGCAAACTGGCAACCAGTACAGCTGGCAAAGCAGAGGTGTAATGTGTACTACCCTAGGGGCACACATAACTGCCTGCACCACTGCATTTTGCACCAGCTGAAGCTTCCAGATACTGTTCAAGGGCAGCCCCATGTAGAGCGCATTACAGAAATCCAAATGGGACGTGACCAGGGCATGAGTGACAATGATTAGGTCCCTCTGATCTACGAATGGGCACAACTGGTACACAACACAAACTGTGCAAAGGCCCTCCTAGCCACGAGTGCCACCTGCTCTTTGAGCAGGAGTCGTGAGTCTAAGAGGACCCTGTGATGGAATGGACTTATGAAGGCCAGGCTCAGGGAGATAAGTGTGTTCTTAGCCCCCAGCAGGAGTGTGGGAAGTTCAAGAAGATGAGGTTGGCAGGAATTCACGGTGTTGTGGCTGGCTGGCTGGCTTGGGAACTAGGGTTCAGTCTGGGGAGATTTTCTGTCTGGAGGTTGTAGCTAATAAATG